TGTTTGAATGTTTTTTTTCTTTCTGAGAGTGAGAAGAAAAGATGTATATAAATTGCATGTTTGAGCATATAATGAATAGTTCAACATGTTGGGAAATATTCGTATTCTCTTTCTTGCGGAGAGTTTGTTAGAAGAAGATTTATATCATCCTCATGCCTGTACTGTAAATATGAAGCTACAACCAGGAGATGGTTAACTGAGTTTAACTATGCCTACAGTATTGTTGTCACTGTGAGTTTGCCAGACAGCCAGCAGAGACTCCAGTATGTCTCTGTGCCCGGCCAAGAAATAGCTCAGGGTGCAATGTGTAGTATAGTGAAATCACAAATTGTAATTTTTACACCATGTACAGATTAAACAAACTAGATATTATGTGTTAATTAGTGAGGTTTAAAGGTCCTGGTAGACAGATTTTTTTTAATGCTAAGCTAGGCTTACTGGCTGCTGTCTGTATTCATATTTAACAGACATCTAACGCTGTGCAATGTATTTCTCACACTATCCCTTTAAGTATGGAGCTGGAGTTGGGAAAGGCTTAGCCTAGCTTAGCATGAATACAGTGAGGGGACCGCTAGCCTGTCAGCTAATTAGTTTAAAACTATGCCTACCATAACCCCCAAAGATCACTAATCAACACATTTAATTAGAAGCATAAAAATAATGCATGATATAGTTATTTGGACATCTTAATTAGCCAAGCACTTCTGTGCAGCTTCTTTGGCTATCATGACTTGCCAGATATGGTTAGTGACATGGCAGGTATCATTACTTGATACCAAATTTGCTAACTTCACTGTGACAATAAGACTCTGGGATTCAACTGTGCCCAGCTGTTGCTCACCAAGAACTACAACCACTTACTCTTTTTATATATTTTTTTTGTGTAGTTAGTGAGCTTTAGTCGGGTGGTTAGCACTTTTTCACTTTGGACAGACCCAGGCTAGAGATTCCCCATCTCCTTTTATGCTAATCAAAACTGTCCTGGCTCCAGCTTTTACTTAAAGGAATAGTGTAGAAGTATTGTTTTTTTTAAGAAGACTTTAATGAAAAAATTCCTACCACTCTCATATCTGTCTGTTCAGTATGAAACTAGAGCCAGCAGGTAGTTAGCTTAGCTTAACATAAAGACTGGAAACAAGGGTAAACAGTTATCCTGGCTCTGTCTGAAGGTAACAAAATCTGATTCAAACACTTCTAAATATCACTAATACACATTACATTGTGCTTAATCAGTAAAAAAACTGGAGTGTAAAAACGGCAGGTTGTGGTTTTATGTTTGTTCCCCCTTGCTTTCACTCGGCTAAGCTAACTGGATGCTAGTTGTAGCTTCATATTTACTGTACAGACAAGAGTGTGGCAGCACTCCTCTGATCTCACTCTCACTTTTAGTGCTTTCCAAAATGTTGAGCTATTCCTTTGACATGCCCCCTTTGAAAATTCCCCCAGTTTGACATCCTGATTCCTCACATGAGCAGAAAGCCACACACACAGGGATGTGACTTTCATGATGTCAGGCAAATTACACTTAAGGCACCCGTACCATCTGCTCATAATCCAGAGCACTAACTCATTACATCAGCGTTGGGAGAAGGTTATTTTAAATAAAAGAACAAAGCGTACAGGTATGTTCTTTGTCTATATGACAAGAACAAAGCCACAGATAAAACAACGGATGACGCAGTAAATGAGTCAAAAACAATCAGCCCAAGCTTCACATTATGAGTCACGAACCAGAGACGCTCTATGCTTATTCAGTGTGTCCACTGAGGTGTGCAGCCTCTTCATTTAATATTTCCATAAGGTTGCATATGAGTGTGCGCTGGGCAATCCCTGTAATAAGGAGGTAATGTATTCTGCGCCAATGGCAAAAAGGTACGCTTGAAACATCCCTCACAGGAGCAGCAGTTTCCAACTTGACAGTGGACACATACATAATTAAGCCAACTAAAAAAAATGAATATTTCATCTCAAAGCATTTTCATCTCCAAACATCAAAACACCTCAACGTCTCACATAATGAGCAAGGTAAATTACTTTTATTCACTGAGGGAATATGCAACAAGGAATGCTCACTCAAAGGACCTTGCTTAAAAAATATATCAGCTGAAAAAGAAAGGGAGAGAACTTACACCACTTATTTTTGTATTTTGCCAGAATTCTTTGTGTCCTCAGAGGTTGTTTTAACACGCAAAAAGAGCTAATTCTTTCCTATGATTGTTTGCCTAGCTCTTTTTCTAAGCTGTAATTGTGTTATTATGTTATATTACAGTGTCAGCCCTAATGCTTTGTAGCCTGATCTGGCTATAACTCACACTGACCTGTAATTCATGACATGTCATGCATGAGTCGCCTGAGGACTTTTGGGTTTACAGATATGTAGGCACGCCAATAGAGAGGATAAATTATTCCGTAACCTTGCAGTAGTTGAATTTTACTAGTGTGGTCTATGTAAGTGCACGCTGTTGCCAAATCTTCTCCGTTTCTGCTATGGCACAGAGGCTCTCAAACGTCTTTCTCAAACGAGTTTCCAAAGAATAGGCTGTAAATTATATCGCGGCGGCTTCAAATGGCTGTGTGATACAGCGGGAGAGTAGGTGCATACAGCAGCAGCAGCACCACGCTGGAGAGAATGACTTTGACCGTCAAACCTGACTCACACTAGCTCCCTGTACACCTTCATAGATGGGAATTAACCTGCCACGGCTTGAAACGCTTTACTGAGCACTGGTCGATACTGTCATTATCCTAAAGCAATTCTTAATTCTATTTGGCCCTGAGCTAAAGATCCTTGTATTGATCACAAAGTCAGGATGCCACAACTACTTTTTTCTAGTTAAGACCTCTATGTGTTGTTCAAGAAAAAGCTCTTAGCTCATATAGTCAGAGTGGCATATACAGCCACATGCTACTGAAGAATAGATCATCACATCACTTTGAATGTTTCAACATATGTTTCAGAATGATACCTTGGGGTTTAATCAAGTGTTACAGTCATAAGGCGCATACTATGTGAGTGGTACCTCAGTGTTTCATCAAGGGTTACAGAAAAAGGCAACCCTCTTTCATATCCTGTTTTGGGAGATGAGAAATATTGATATTAGTCGGCCGAGGCACTATCAGCATGAAACAGAGCCTTTCAGTAAAGCAGCAGTCATAACACCTGTACTGAAGTTCCTGATTACGTGTCTTTGTTCTCAAAGCTTCTGTCACTGCTGCTGCCTCTCAGCCTGTGTGTGTGTGTGTGTGTGTATGAAAAGGACTTTAACGGAGAGACAGAAAAAGACACAGAGAAATCCTAAGCAGCATGAAACTGAATACGTCTTTTTTTGTCTCTGTCTGGCTGTCTGTCAATCTTCTGCATGCGCACAAACAAACACTTGCACAAGCGTCGCCACCTGCCACAGACTATACGCGGAGGCCTGTGACAGTGGTTAACAGAACAGGACATGTGTAGCCCCAGGTGACTCAAACTGCAAAACTAACAACACCATGCTTCATTGCACCAAGAACGCGATGTGAAATACCAGTAGAAAGGGTGTGTGTGTGTGTGTATGTGCGTGTCAATTCACATGTATGTCTAAATGTGAGTGCTTATGAATATGCATATATTTGTGTCATATTACTATAGTGTATTGCTATAACTAATATGGACTTCATTAGGATTGTAAAAGCTGACTGAAGCATAAACAAAAATAAACAAGAAGAAAAAATACTTCACAAACTCTCCTATGGTACATGAAACACAATAAAAGGCCCTCTAGGGTGCCTTTCAATTAGAGAAAACGTGATGAAATGCCCTCTAGAGTGCCCTTCCAGTGGAGAAAATGTGGTAAAGTGTCCTCTAGGGTACCTTTTCAATGAAGAATAACTGATAAAGTGCCCTAAGCTGCCCTTCCAGTGGTCAATACACGATAAAGTGCCCTCTGGGTGCCTTTCAAGTAGAGAAAACATGGGTGCCTTTCCATTGGAGAAAACTTAATAATGTGCCCTCTAGAGTGCCCTTCCAGTGGAGAAAATGTGGTAAAGTACCCTCTCGAGTGCTAATCCTAACCCTGACTAAGCTGTTTCATCAGACATGCATCACAACTTTCTGTGCACTGGTGTCCTTTTTGTTTGCCCCTGTCCACCACTGAGGACTCTAAATGATATTTTTATTATTTCTTTTATTGTTGCAGTAAGAATGAAACATTAGTGGGAACATTGCAGCAAGAACACAATCTTAGCGGGAGCAATTGGCTATAGCAGCAGAAGTTACAGCAGTAATAGCCTGAAAGAGGCTGTGATTCCTTTGACCAGGGTTTTACTTCATTTATTGGACTTGTTTGCACCGGCGAAGTTTAACCAAGTACTGTGCTCACATGCAATCTGAGGTACTTGACTGAGTATTTCAATTGCATGTGGCTTTATACTCTTCATAGGAAGATATTGTACTTTTGAGTACAAGTACCACAAGCATTTATTGTAAAGGTAAGTTGAGTAAATTAAGATAATTGTACCAACTTACCAACTTAACCCCCGATAATTCCATTAAAACCAGTAAGTATATTACACTCATATGCAGCATTTCTCCAAACCAGTTTTTCCCTTGCTTGTATTATTCTGCCGTGATATAAACATTGTTAAACTATCCTGTAATAAGCATCCAGCAGAATACTGTGCAGTGTGTGACACTCTCTCAGCTGTGTGAGTGGCAGCCCCGGTTGTACTGCTACAGGTTACTACACAGCCGCTCATTGGCTGCACTGACCGAGCACAGCAAAGTAGGTCCCCGGAATTTTACGAGCCGTACCATTTCTGCCTCTGTGGGGTGGTGCGGGAATTAATAACTACAGGATGTCGCTTCCTCGCCCGCCTAAAAACACACACAACTCACTGAAATACACACCTTACTTTATTTTCACTTTTGTTTTATTCGTTTGGTACGCTTGAGCCGAGAAATGCGATTAATTAATAACTCGGACATATCCGTTCCACCCGCTGGGAGCGAGCTGACGGTTTGGCTCAAAATGGCTGGAGAGAAACAGTTATGAGGATCGACGGTTTTGCCAGGTATTTACGAAAAATGAGCCTGTGTGTAGTTTGAAGGCGCCTCCTCCACATAACTGGGGACCCAGGTGAGACATGTTTACAGTTAATCCGACATTTTCACACAGCCCGCCGCTTTTCGGGACAGACAATAAAGCCAAACAGAGGCTCGTTTGCAGTGTTATCACGGTAGCCTGTACTTGCAGCACTGAGCAGCCCTGGCTTCGGTGTGTATTTACAGTGTGAACAACAGCTTCAAAGTCAAATAACAGTGTGCACAAAGTGTGGGTGGTAGGCGAGAGTGCACACGCAACAAACAGCGCGTGGGCGACCGTATCGTTGGTGTCAGACAGTGTGTGTGGAGCTAATGCAGAGCAGGCCTGAGGCTAACCCTGCAGCTGTGACATACGTCACCAGCCTAGGATTCCCTGCAGTGTGTGTGTGTACGTGTGTACAGACAAGATCTGAGACAGTGTCAGCAGTGGTGGATGTGCACCTGTGCAGGAGTGTGTGTGTGAATCTCAGAGGTGTGTGTGTGTGTGTGTGTGTGTGTGTGGAGTTTGGTGGGGGTTTTAGGTTTGTGTTCTTCTAACAGGCATTGCATGGTGCAGAGCAGTGGCGCTCAGTCTTTATGGTGTCGAGGACCCTCAGATTGATCCCCATCAGGCCGTGCAGCTGTATTTGTAAAATGTAGTCTCAGGGATCTGCGTCTGATTGTATTTTGTAATTCCATAACTGTCTATGCTGTAGATTAACAGGGGTGGGTGTCATAAGTGAAATTAAAATGTTCCCTATTTTTCTGGGGACCCCCTGACCTCCCCTGGGCTCCCTGTACCCCAGGTTGAGAACCTCTAGTGTAGTGTAGAGCAGTTGTTCCCAACCTTTTTTGACTGTTGTACCCCCACAACCCTGTCAGATGACACCTTGATGTGTTTGTTTGAACTTCTTTTAAACTGGAGGTTATTTACTGCTGTTATATACAGGTGGATATTCTTATAATATGTTTTTGTTTGGTCACTTTTACAGAAGTACTACTTTTCAATCATGTATTGCTTTTAGCTATTCAGTTCAACTTCTCTGCTAACTAGATTTGTGTAAACCTATTTTACGGACTCTCAGTCGCAGCAGGTTGCGTTCAGGAGCTTCACGTAACGCGGTGGTAAACTGCACAGTTGGCTTATCATAGCTTGTAGTTTATTGGGTATTATAAATTAGCCTCACACCAATTTGTTATACTTTTTGTGTATTTCCTCCACATTAGCTGAGCAGCTTCTCAGTTCTTCCAGTTTCCCCCTGGTATCTGCAGACACACCCCATGAGGTACCTCACGTAGAGGAGGGGATTAGGTGCACTTGGATGGCTCACCTGTCTTTACCTTAAACATATTGGGTTAATTCAACCTATTTGTTTGCTATGGATGTAAGAAACACTAAATGCAGTTGCCCAGTTGTTGCCCAGTTCGAGCTGAAATGTAGATTTGGGATGGACATATTAAAACAGGACTAGTCCAGTTAGTATTGATTGATTCTTTCCTTATTGCATTTTGTATAATTCAATTTACATTTCAAGTTGATGCGGGCCAAGGGTGTGGGCAGTTTGCTGACGTACACTGTAAGATGATGTTGCCTGTAGGTGTTCATACTCTGGTGTGTTTAATAGTTCCCGCTGTGTCAGGCCACTGCAGGAAAGTACACAGCAGGACTGGATTTACAGCAGTTCTGCATCTGAAACGTCCCCATTTGGTCATTTTATTTATATATGGCTATATGAATTCAGTATATTTACTATATTCTGATCGAAGATTATATATACTACTATATTTATACTAGGAGTTTATTCATACCCCTCATCACTTATCACTTTAAAAACTGTGCTCAGAGTTGTGCTCTCTGTATTTCAGAGGCTGTAGCGGGCTCTTGTTTTAAAGCTAGAGTGAAGATACTGGTATCATAACTAGAAACTAGATGATCTAACCCATCCATCGTTAACAGCTGTGTCATGCTAGCAAGTCTGGAAGGCGGCTAAATAACGCTCCAAAGTGAGGCTACGTTTTGACGATGGAAAAACTTGACCTCTGACCTCAAGACATATTAATGAAAATGGGTTCTGTGGGTACTCAGAAGTCTCCCCTTTGCACACATGCCCACTTTAATTAGAATATTTCTGCATACCGGGGTCCCTATACAGTGTTGCATGAATTGGGAATGGCTGAAAGGTCCGGATACGCCCCTGGTTCCCTGAGCCCGCTATAATCCCTTTCATTGTGTTGTTTTATAATATGGAGCACTGAAGGTTTTTGGGTAATTGCAAGGGATCTGCTGCGATGACACTGCACCTTTTCTAGGGCAGTTGTCGCTCAGACATGCTGGCGCTTATGTTTTCTGCTTCTGACACAATTACTGATGACTGTATCATTAGTGATGCACCAGTCTGACCCTATTAAGCGGACTGTTACTGCACTGTTTCTGAGTCATGCCACTCTACAGTTGTGCTGTTTCAATAGAGCTGCACAATTAGTAGAAACATTATTGGTCAAATGTGTGATAGAACAGCATTATAATGAAGTACTGTAGTGCTGCAGAGATGTCCTGGCTTACAAATCTTGTTCTCCAGATGTAAGAAAGCATGTATGTTTGATACAGACCATTACAAATCTCACATCTGAATGATTTTCATATTTTATTTTATTTTTTTAGTAAAAATTGTGATGCAAAAATGATCACTCCCACTAATTGTGAATCATAACATAATTCCAGTTATTTCAGCTCAGTGGTATATACTGTACAGATTGTAAAAGCTCTGGTATCAGATCAGTGTCTCGGGTAAAATGAGTGCGTTCCACTGATGACGTGATGCAGTGCTTTGGCTGGAAACACAGCTACAGTTTGTGGTGCATGTATTAATATATTCCTTGCGCTTCTCTGTGGGGAGGTCAAAGGTCAGCCAGCTTCAGGACAGCTCCCTTAGCGCTGGCAGGCAGTTTGTATGTTGCACACATGTTGCTTCTGTAGCTGAATGACCCTGTTGCTCCAAGTGAGGCATTTATTTCAGGCAAAGCTCCGAGACCGTGATTTCTTTGAATTGGGAGGACTGATCTAGTCTCAGTGAGCAGGCTGTGTGTCTGGTGTTGAGGCAGTCCATGATCTTTGAGGTCCAGAATGAAAATTTAGATTAAACGTCTCTAAGATGTTTAAAAAGGAGGAATATGATCCGCTGTGGTGAAATGAAGACGGATTATGGCGAAGGAGAAATTTCCCCTCCAGTCAGATCCATCCTCATTGGAACTGGAAATCTCTCTCCCTGCGGTATACACCATGTTCCAGAGAGTGTTCTTGGTTTTCCTCTCCAGATACAACAATTTATTATTTTCACTATCTGCAGCAGCCCAGTTTTTGTCACATAAAAGATGCCGTAAAGGTCGAATCCCACACGCCTCAGGATCTTATGTAGTATATCCTTTTCAGCAGCAGCTTCACTTTTACAGTTCACTCGAGCTCTGAACTGGGAGCTCCCAATACAAACAGCATTTTCTTTTTTTCTTCTGAGCTGTTGGGGCTTCGGTGCCTTGCTCGAGGGGTCTGGTGTCAACCCAGATCAGTTAAAAAAAAAAAAAAAAGCTGTGACTCATGATGAGGAAACGCCACGACCCGTAAAGAGAAAAATGCTCTCACTGTTACACCTTCTCTTTGTTGGAAAATTGCGGTCTCAGCAATATTTTGTGCTGATAACAGAAAGCGGGTCACACCACACAAATCAACACTTTTTTTTTGTGCCTTGGGTACAACATTCACACTCAGATCCTCCCTCGACACAACTCTTCTTCACTATCATAGCCAAACAGTGGCACTTCCATTCCTACCACCACACTCTCCAGGTGGATTTGGTCACATACGGTTTTACTCGGCCAGGATTTCTGCCTCCACTCAGTCAAACAGACCTGAGTTGTTTGGTAGAGCTCATGGTTATGTGTGATTGAAAAACTTTCAGTGGTGGGGCTTTTCTGTTCATCAGCACGAAGGGTCACTGATTCATACGCTGCTGTACCAATATAAAGGGTGCAACTAAACTATGTGCTAGTGCCACCAACTGAGAAAGCCAGTGTGGAGCCCTGGCGATATTTCTTTCATTAAATGTGAGGATTTGCTGCTTCTCTCTGTTTTATCATCGTAAACAGGATATCTTTAGGTTTTAGACTGTTGACTGAAATGAGACATTTGTAGACGAGCTCTTCGTAACGAACATGTTTCACGATTTTCAAACATTGTATAGTGAGCAATCAATGTGTCATGGTCTCAGGTGAAAATGTTTGAACAGTACCCCTCCCTATCCAGGATGCTTGTTGCACGATGCAAGGTCTCTGTCTGAAAAACAAGCCTCTTTTATTCATTTACATCTCAAACTTGTGGCAAACTGCGCAGCATAGTTGGAGTTTCGCTTACCTATTCTGAAGCCACCCGACTAAACCCCTGATTCCAGGATAATTGAAACACTCACTTGTGCTTCTGCTCATAAACTTTGTCCTCACCCACCTCCATTTTCTCGCCAGTGCCTGATCGGTACTGCGCCTGTGTAACTCTCACTTGATCAGCCAAGTGCCAGATTTGCTAGCCAGATGTGGCATTTTACTTACCCCGGGCAAACGGGCAGTCTTATCGCTGCACGATATGATAAAAACATTCTATTGTGATTTTTTTTTTTTTCACACATAATTTAGACTGGAAAAGAAAATGCTAAAAATCATGATGATGTGGTATTTGTTGGGCTGTGTACCAAACAAACGTTTTTTCTACATCTGGATAAGCCAGATTTGTAGGCCAAGGCATCTCTACAGCACTACAGCATTCAATTCTCATTATAATACTGTATTGTCACATATTTTACCTTTTATCTGCAGCTTCCGTGATTTGGATATTGCACTTAGCCAAATTGCGATTTCAATAACACTGATTCATTGCTCTATTCAGGGCTCCAGATTAAATTTTTGAATGTGTTGCACTGGTGCGCCTAACATTTTTTTTTTTAGGTGCACCAGCACAAAATTTAGGTGCACCCAAATTTTTCATTGCGTCGCCTTTAACGCCATAAGG